TAAAAGGCCGCACGGGCAGGACAAACAATAAATTACATATGTGGACGAGCAATTATAAAAGGCTTGGAGGGGATAGACTTTTCCATTAATTGTAAAATTTTGTTGGCCATGCTTCACATGGGCACACGTGAGGCAGAGCGGCTTATTGCAGCGGAACATCCCAGTAAGTGGGATTAGTACCGGTCTATTGTGAATAGGAGGGGATTTCAGGGGGGGAATTTTACTAGGTGCAATTTTATTCTTAATGTTAATTGCTCTTCTATATACAAATGTGGGGGTAGGAGGCATGATCATTTTAAGGTGTGGATCTTGATGTAAGATAGGCCAGTGTTTCTTCAGGATGGATTCCATTTTGTGATGTTTAGAATGGAACTGTGTAATGAAACGGATATTGTTGTTGTTCGATGATTGCGGCTTAGGTGGGGGGATCGTGTCTGAGAAGTAGGTGAGATATCCTTGTTCCACTAACTCAGAGGGATATCCTTTTTCTGTAAATTTTTGTTTTAATTCAATGCTTTGGGCTTTGTAGTCCTTAGGTAAGGTACAGTTGCGTCAAAGTCTGCAAAACTGTCCTTTGGGTATATTTTTGAGCCATCTAGGATGATGACAGCTAGTATAATGAAGAAAGGAATTGTGAGGTGCAGCACAGATGACATCCTCCTCCTTACATATTGATGCCTGATATCTACCCACTTCTTGTGAGTTTTTATAATCTTGTGTGCAATAAACTTTTATATTCATACTGCACTTAGTCTGGCGCACTTCTCTTTCTTCTCCCTGTCAAGCATAGCTATCATAATTATAGGTAGAGATCTCTGGGTAGTTGGCCAATCAGTGATCACATGAATCGGGACCTCACACAGAGGTCCTGTACCGTGATCTGTGTTCTGCTGTGTCCTCCAGACATAGCGGGCACCGATCATGGTGCTGCACGCTCCTAGGGAGAGAAAAGTCCACCCACATGTGCAGTGCTCCCCCCGGCTGTTTATCTACATGGGCTGGACGGGAAGTGGTTAAAACTGCACCAAAACTGCTTCTCAGAGGCATTTTTGAGGCATTTTTCAGCCGTTTTCCATTGATTTCAATGGGAAGAGGCTTTTTTAACTCCCCAAACATGCCCCAAAGAAGCTGCAAGCAGGAGTTTTTACACCGAACCGCAAGCACAACGCCTCAGTGTGAAAACATACATAGATATAAGTGATACAGATTATAATCAGCGAATGGGTATAAAAGGAAGGCTTGTCATCCAATCGGCTACTCCTGATGAAGTCACATGTCGTGATGTAACGCGTAGGGTACGCCGATGACATCAAGCTGTAGAATCGGAAGTGTACGTACCGCCATCTTGAATAAGGGATCCATGTAGTTCATTCACAAAAATTAATACATAAAGACTCCTTGATCCTGTGGTGTCCCAGGTGAACACAAATAAATGTGAGTGGAATATTTTAAGTGTTTTAATAAAGCTTAGACATTTTTTATATACTTCCCTATTTGGAGCATTTTTTCATTTATCTGTGGTGCGTTTTGGAGTTTGGAGGTGCAGGAGGAGTTGGAGATCTATATACCAGTATACCCGCCCGGGTTAAAGGGAAAGGCACGGTTTGACCTGACGGTTCGGGTCAATCCATAAGGTGAGCGCATAAGTGTGTCGGAGGTGGATAAAGCACTGGGGGGGGGTCACATGGAATCACTGGATGAATATACGCAGTAAAGTAATTGCACTAAGAACATGGAGCACTGAAGTCTTAAAGGGACGGTTCACCAAAGGATGTGATATCATAATATTGGGACACTGGTTGTTGATATTAGATGCACAGCGGATATGTTGCAATAACGCATGGATAATACAGGAAGCAATATAGGAATGGTGCATCATTGAGATTGTTATTTTGATACGTTTTGTATATGGAGCACAGTTTATGCACAGGTATGGTTATTTAATTATATCATACTGTCACGCAGCAAGATTTATGTTTATATATTCACAATTTTGTTTATATATTTAGCCATATTTGCGATTATAATATTGCGCTGCATTCTTTTGTAATATCTTATTTGTATGTGGGAACACTTTACATGTTGGCTGCAATATTTGGTTGATAGGTATTTATTGCGCTGTAGGTATTTCACATATTATTTTTGATACATAGATATACATTCACAAAACAGGGAAGCAGTTTTCTTGAGCTTTTCTGGTGCTTTTTTTAATGCAACAACGCTTGAAAAACTCCTCAGTGTGAAAGCAGCCTTAGTGACCTTAATTGAGACAAGTACACACTATAGAGGGATATGCTTTGTTCATATTTCATGTCTGAGGTTTACAACCATTATCATGTTCTGACTAAAGTTCCACTTTAACAGACCAAGGCATACTATTTAACACTGACAGGGGTGATTCCAATATTTAGCTTTTATTCATTGAGGTAAAACCTTCCCCGCCTTTGCCAAAAAAATAAACCTGCTGCTGTAGCTGCTTACAAAGTGTTAAACTGGAGTTTTCCTTTAATTTTTTTAGTCAAGTTCATCTAAATTTGCAAGTGCATCTGACACTACCCTCTCCCACAGGTTGAAAATGCTGCTGTCCAAAGGTGGCTCTGCTGCTACCAAAGGGTGGAGCTACCATGAGGCAGTAAATGTGTTACTGGCTCGAATCACCAGGTGAAAATAAAGCAAAAAAGAAATCAAATGCAGCCTCCACGTTTAAGGGTTGGTAAGCTGCAGTGACGTTCCTCAACGCTGGCTCTGATTGACAGCAGTGGGAGCCAATGGTTCCGGGGGCTGTATCTCAGCCAGTGAGGAGTGAGAGTGGCTCTTGTGCACATTGCTGGATCGAGATCGGGCTCAGGTATGTAATTAGGGGAACTGTGGGGGAAGCTGCATGCAGAAGGTTTTTCTTACCTTACTTTTGCCTTTACAACCACTTTAACCGCTTGCCTATCGGGCTGCTGCACTTTGAATGGCAATTGAGTGGTCATGCAACACTGCACCCATAGGAAATTTTTATCATTTTTTTCACACAAATTGCCACTGGGTGTTTTATTTTTGTGCTATAAATAAAAAAAAACAAAAAAACGTTTTTCTTTGTTGCTATTATAAAATTTTGCAAACAGGTAATTTTTCTCCTTCATTGATGAGGCTGCACTGATAGGTAGCACTAATGGGCACTGATAGGCGGCACTGATGGGCACTGATAAGCAGCACTGATGAGGTGGCACAGATAGGCAGCACTGATGGGCACTGATAGGTAGCACTGATAGGTGGCACTGATGAGGTGGCACTGATGAGGTGGCACTGATATGCAAGAATGATGGGCACTGATAGGCGGCACTGGTGGGCACTGATGGGCAGCACTGATGGGCACTGATGGGTGGCACTGACTGACAGCACTGATGGATGGCACTGCTGGGTGGCATTACTATGCACTGATGATTGGTTTTGATCCATCCTCTGACAATTGCCGCTGTGGCGGCGTGAGGAAAGTGCAGCCGATAACTGGCAACTGCATTTACCGGTGATCTGCTGTGTCATTGGACACAGCTGGTCACGTGGGAAAAGACTGCTGTGATTGGCCTTTTACCACATCACATGATCCGTAGGACACAGCAATCATGAAGATCGCTGGGTGTGCCGGGGAAGGCGCGTTCCGGGAGGACGTCATATGACACCCTCCCAGAACTGGCTGGCCACAGTGAAGCTGTCATTCGGCTATCTGCGGTCGGCAAATGGTTAAAGGTCAAGGTTAGTTTTTAGGAGTAGTTTTACATTAAGGATTAGATTTAGGCTGGTCATAGATGAGTCCATTTTTGTTAACATCAGGGACACTTCCCCTCCGTCAGATTATACTGATCAGCGCTGCAGGCTATAACCTGCAGCACTGATCGAGCAGAAATTTTCTAACAGGGTGGTTGAAGAGAAGTTGATTGGTAGATTCTGTTACATCACAGTGCTCATGAATGTACAGAAATTTGGCTGGTCCCAGATGAAGCAGCCGAATTTCGATCCATGTATAGCCAGCTCTAGGCATACATTTAGGGACCAGGTAGGCGTGTGGGATTTGGTTAAAGCCCAGCTTTCAAGACATCAGGATTAGGTGTTAAAGAAATTCTAATAGGAAACATACTTACCTGCTGTGTGTTGTGGTTTTGCACAGAGCAGCCTGGATCCTCCTCTTTTTTGATCCTCTGTAGGCTGTCCTGGCTCCTCCCTCCTGTCGGGTGCCCCCACAGCAAGTAGCTTGCTATGGGAGCACCTGCTGCTCAGTGAGTCCATTCGCACAAGGAGTCATGGCTCGCCCCATCCTCTGTCTTTTATCATTGGCTTACTTGCTGTGATTAACAGCAGCAGGAGCCAATGGCCAAAGGGTTCAAATCAACGGTCATTTTTGACAATAGTGATGGATGAAATTACAAGGGAGCAGGATAACATATTTTTTCTCACACTAAGAAATTTCTAGCAGTGATTGCAGTTTTCCTTCGGTTAAGGCCATTCACTCCAAAATGTAATGTTAAAGCAATAGTAAACTGCACCCAAAAAAACTGGGCCCCTGGACAATTTAAGTCATAATGTGCTAGTATGCACACACACTAGCACATTATGACAGACTTACCTGAAAACTAAGTCCTCCAGCAGAGTGCTGTAGGCACTTCCATCATCACCCAGGCCTTCCTTCTGGGTTTGTGGGCTTTGGCCGTATGAATGGCTGAGCCACGATCATGCAACTCCCGCACATACACGTGGGAGTCATGGCCGTGGCAAGTTCTGAATGGATGGCACAATCCACTCAGAGCCCAGTGCGAATGTGCCGATGATGTCACCGGCTGCTGCTAAAGTAAATACCCCTAAAAGTGCATGTTTAGGAGATACCGTATTTTTCGCTCCATAAGACGCACCTGACCATAAGACGCACCTAGGTTTTAGAGGCAGAAAATAGGAAAAAAAATTCTGAACTAATGGACTGCAGACATAGTACAGGGATGACCAGAGACTGCGGACAGCACAGGGATGACCAGAGACTGCGGACAGCACAGGGATGACCAGAGACTGCGGACAGTACAGATGACTGCTGACCTTTGGGGAGGGGGGGGAGCGGGTATCTGAATTTGACAGGTACCCGCTCTTACTTCCTCGGAGTTGTTGTTTATCTTACCTGTTCCTCGATCCAGCCGCGCGCTGTCTTCCCGGCTTCTGTAATGGCGCTCGGCATGACAGCCGGGTGCCCAGTGCGCATGAGCGAGAAGCACTTGCGCTTTGTGATTGGTCCAGCGGCTTCTGGGATCGGTCATGTGTCCCAGGTACCGCCTTACCATTCACAAAAAGCACCGCTTCTTGCGCATGCGCACTTGGCACCCGGATGTCATGCCCAGTGCCCACACTACAGAAGCCGGAAGACAGCGCGCCGCTGGATAGAGGAACAGGTAAGATAAAGAACAAATAAGTAAGAGCGGGTACCTGTCCAATTCAGGTACCCGCTCCCCACCTCCCCAAAGGTCAGCAGTACTCCCCATAAGGTCCCGCTGCAGAGCTGAGCGGCCGGCCTGGTATTCTGCACGGCGGTGGTGGAAATACCGGACCGGCCGCTCTATATTCGCTCCATAAGACGCACTGACAATTTCCCCCCTTTTTTGGGGGGAAAAAAGTGTGTCTTATGGAGCGAAAAATACGGTAATTATTGTACCTATAATTCAAAACATTAACAATACCATATAAAGCCATTTATAACTCTGCCCCAAATTACATCACCAATCTTGTCTCCAAATATCACCCACACCGTACTCTCCGCTCCTCACAAGACCTCCTGCTCTCTAGCTCCCTTGTCTCCTCCTCCCATGCTCATCTCCAGGACTTCTCCAGAGCTTTCCCACCCTCTGGAACTCTCTACCCCACTTTATCAGACTATTGCCTACTCTGCTCACTTTTAGGCGATCTCTGAAAACCTATCTCTTCAGGGAAGCCTATCCTGCCCTCAGCTAATAATGAATCTTCTACTCCTCCTACCAGTCCATCCCCCACAGTTACTACCATTTGTACCACCAGCCCCTCCCTCTTAGATTGTAAGCTCCAAGGAGCAGGGCACTGCTAAACCTGAACTGTATTGTTGCTGTATTGTCTCCCGTTATTTTGTAAAGCGCTGAGCAAACTGTTGGCATTATATAAATCCTGTATAATAATAATAATACCTATAGGTAAAAATCAACTGCATGAGTATACTACTACTTTAAAAGCAAACAAAATCTTGAAGCACTGAATGAAATTTGTCAAGTACAAATACTGAGAATTTTCATATGAATGTTCAAAATAATGTTTGTATGAACATTGGTTCAAAAATCTACTAGTGTATGGCCAGTTTTAGGTGGAGTTGAATACAATTTTTCAATTTCTCAATACATTTTAGGATTTCAAATGTTATCTAAAGCTGTCCATACATTATACAATTTTCTTGTACAATCTTCCTTTAGATTTGTCAAAACCATACAATATGAGGTCAAACTTAACCACTTTTTAATTTGCATGCAATCAGACAGGCCCTTGCACTACATAGTTGAAGGTAAATCTAAAGGAAATTGAACAAGAAAATTGTATAATGAATGGCCAGCTTAAAGTGGAACTGCACTCTCTCAATCAACATGGACTATTTGTAATCCTTATGCTGCTAGCATTAGGAAATGGCAAGGAAAGTATATCATATTTTTTTATTTTAAACTTTTTTTTTTATTTCTTTAGTTACTCCCTGATTTCCATGCCTAGGCAAATGATGCCATACTTCACAGGAGTCTCCAGGAGGGGAGGGAGGGTGCTCAACTTATGCCTGAGCTAACAGCAGATGGATTCCAGGAAGTGAATGCTACATTAATCATGTGCCCTTACTCAAGATGGCCACTGCCAGAAATGCCAGGATTTTTTTTTTTCAAAATGATTTCTTAGCAAAATAAAGCATGGAGACATGAATGGATGGGTGAGTTTGCTTTGAACATTAACAATGAATTAAATAGAATATATGGTCTGTGGTGCTCAGATATAGTGCAGTTCCACTTTAAGTATGATAACTTGGTTTATCAAGTGTAAATGTTGTTAGTGATGAAAATATATGGGACAAAAATACCACACCAAATTTAAATCACAAAAAATGTATTGTAGTGTATGCATGCTGCTAATATATTCATATGCTAACTAGTTGCACATTATTATGCAGACAGTATTGTGGGGTGACTAATTGGTATGGCTAAAGCCCAATTTATAATCTTTTACTTCTGTTTGTCCTTCTGCACTAGACAAAAAGCCTTCAACTTTATCCTTCATTATATTCATTTGCTTTTGACTGGGATCATTCAGACATTTGTGAAGGTGATCCTGCATGGAGGGTCAGAAAAATTAGAGCTGCATCACTGTTCATGCTACATTATGCAAGCTGCCATCGTGCGGTGGCAGTTTGGAATGAACTCTTCATTCATTTAAAGTGAAAGTGGTTCTAAAGGCAGAAGGTTTTATACTTTAATACATTCTATTCATTAAGGCAAAAAGCCTTCTGGGTGCAGCCCCAACCCCCCTTATACTTACCTGAGCCCAGCAATGTGAATGAGAGCTTTGTCTCTTCTGGGTCTCTCTTCTCACTGGGTCACACAGTTCTTGGCTCCTGCTGCTGTCAATCATAGCCAGTGAGCCAATGAGGAGAGAATGAGTAGAGGGGCCGAGCCATGCTCGGTATGTGCATGGACAAGGTCCATTTACAGGAGCGTGGCTCAAGAGCGAGCCTGCTCTAGTGCCCCCATAGCAAGAGGCTTGCTATTGGGGGCACCCAGCTGGGGGGAGGAGCCAGGACCGCAGGAGGGGGACCCGTAAAGAAGAGCATCAGAGCTGCTCTGTGTAAAACCATTACACAGAGCAGGTAAGTATAACATGTTTGTTATTCTTTTTGTTTTTAATTACAACCTTTAAAAATCAACTTTAAAAAAAAATCTAAAAAAAAATACAACCTTAAAGAAATAAAATAAAAGTGCTGCCTACATGGAAGCACCAAAAGGTCTAGACTCTAGGCTAATGCCTTGTATTCAGAAAAGCACAATCTGTGCCCCTGTTGAACTTGATGTCATTTTGCTTTGAAGGCCTCCACTCTTTGGCTTTGGGCATAAACCCTGTCCACCTGCATCTCTAAACCCTGCTGATGTTCAGTTCAGACGCTTGACCATTGAGATGGTCTTACTGACTTGAGGACTTTTCTGAACTAGTACAATAACAGGTGTGGACAGAGCGGAGGAAAAGTTCTTAAAAACATGTATACAGCTATATCTTTTGCAAAAGGATGAACAGAAATGAAATACAGATACTCCTCACTTAACAACCAAATTCCATTCCAACGGCTCTGTCATTAAGCGAATTGGTCCGTAAGCAAGGAATTGTATACAGTACACATACCGTTGTAGAGCTGGTTATAAGTCTGAAAGATGGTCATCAAGTGAGGAACTGTATACACGTACTGTCAGAGAGCAGGTCTTAAGTCTGAGAGCTGGTTGTTAACCAAGGAACTGTATCTGTCAGAGAGCAGGTTGTAAATCTAAGAGCTGGTAGTTACCCGAGGGGACTCTATCCATCAGAGAGCAGGTTGTAAGCCTAAGAGCTGGTCGTTAACCGAGGAACTGTATCCGTCAGAGAGCAGGTTGTAAGTCTAAGAGTTGGTCGTTAACCGAGGAACTGTATCCATCTGAGAGCAGGTTGTAAGTCTAAGAGCTCGTCGTTAAATGAGGAACTGTATCCATCAGAGAGCATGTTGTAAGTCAAGAGCTGGTAGTTAACCGAGGAACTGTATCCATCAGAGAGCATGTTGTAAGTAAGTCTAAGAGCTGGTCATTAACCAAGGAACTGTATCCATCAGAGAGCATGTTGTAAGTCAAGAGCTGGTCGTTAACCAAGGAACTGTATCCATCAGAGAGCATGTTGTAAGTCTAAGAGCTGGTTGATAACCAAGGAACTGTATCCATCGTAGAGCAGGTTGTAAGTCTAAGAGCTGGTCGATAACCAAGGAACTGTATCCATCGTAGAGCAGGTTGTAAGTCTAAGAGCTGGTCGATAACCAAGGAACTGTATCCATCGTAGAGCAGGTTGTAAGTCTAAGAGTTGGTCAGTAACCAAGGAACTGTATCCATCGTAGAGCAGGTTGTAAGTATAAGAGCTGGTCGATAACCAAGGAACTGTATCCATCAGAGAGCTTGTTGTAAGTCTAAGAGCTGGTTGATAACCAAGGAACTGTATCCATCGTAGAGCAGGTTGTAAGTCTAAGAGCTGGTAGTTAACCAAGGAACTGTATCCGTCAGAGAGCAGGTTGTAAGTCTAAGAACTGGTCATTAACTGAGAAACTGTACCCGTCAGAGAACAGGTTGTAAGTCTAAAAGCTGGTCGTTAACCGAGGAACTGTACCCGTCGGAGAACAGGTTGTAAGTCTAAAAGCTGGTCGCTAACCGAGGAACTGTGTCCGCCGGAGAGCAGGTTAGAAGTCTGAGCAGTAGCTAAACAGGTAGATCATTAAGTGAGGAGTATCTGTATTGCATTTCAGAGAGCCATGTTTACAAATGGCACAATGGACAATGTGACCACTGAGTGGTATTGTTCAGCTAATATCTGAGTACTGGAGGTTAACTAGGATAAAGTGATATTAAAGGCAATTCTTTTTTTTTTTTTAAATAACAAACATTTTATACTTACCTGCTGTGTGCAGTGGTTTTGCACAGAGCAGCCCCGATCTTCCTCTTCATGAGTCCCCTCGCCAGTGCTCCTGGCTCCTCCCTCCTGCCGGGTTCCCTCACAGCAAGCGCCCAAGTAGGCTAACTCCCTAGCTCCTGCTCTGCATTTCCATTAACACACAGAGCTGCAGCTCGGCCCCACCTCCTCTCTCTTCTCGTTGGCCCCCATTACTGTCTCATCCAATGAAGAGGGACAGTCCTTGGACAGCCAAGGCTCTCATGCACATTGCTGGATCGCGATGGGGCTCAGGTAAGTATTGGGGGGCTGCTGCACACAGAAGGTTTTTTTTACCTGCACACATAGAATGCATGTCTTAACTTTAATTGTATATGTGAATACAGTCCAAACATTATATGAGTATTCAGATAAACACAGCTAGATATGAGGATTCTTGGATAAAAGAGGTTGTTCAATCTGCAATATACATTTGTAGGCTTCAATAAAATTTTGCAATTACACACTAAACAGTATTTACAATACAATTTACAGTCCACGTTTCTGTGTGATTCCTATACGACTCAGTGTGGTGTGATTTTCAGCCTATTCATTTGAATGGGCTGAAATCACATTGGATTGCAACAAAAGTAGTACATACAATACGCTTCAGAAATTCACCACTGCAGGGGCTGCATTTGGAGCATCATTAGGATTATACTGATACCTCCATCAGATTGTACGCTCAGAATGTGTCTTTTCTGCTGCATTCCAGTGTGAATGAACCCTGAATACAGTGGTTACATGACAAGCATAATGACAAATACAATGTAACTGGAGGGGGGGGCTGGGTGAGAGGAAGGGGGGGGTATGGGATAAGGTGATGTAAAATGGAATTCATGCATATCTGAAGTTTTTCGTGTATAAGGTCCTTTTTTTGTAC